TGCTACGCCCAATACGCCATATTATCGTCCCGTGAGTGATGTAAGAGACGACAAAGAGAAATAAAACAGGAGATGGACAGCAGCAAGTTACTGATGACAACTAGAAATAACTGCGGTTGCTTTCCCACTTGCCAAGCATGGCAACAAAGACAAAATATCCCTCTATGAGTCACTCATATAAAATGATTTTAACACTGATTTTGACTGTGTTCACCATGCGACATTAAAATCAGGAAGCTACAGTACTATTGTGTCAAGAACACAGGGCTTGCACTTATTATTTCATATTTAAGTAATAGAAAGAAGAAAATTATTATCAATAGTAAAAGTTCTTACGGGTCATCCGTAAAGATGGGTGTCCCTCAAGGCTCGATTCTTGGCCCATTCCTATTTTTGATGTATATTAATGACTGACCTGCACTTGTAGGGGAAAATCATGGTATAGTAATCTTTGCTGATGATACTTCCTTAATTGTTAAACTTAAACGTCTATTATTTAAATACAAAGTGAATTAGTTCTGTCTGTGAAGTGAGTTATGACGAAGTGAATAAAGCTATATCAACATTAGTGCATTAGTTTAACGTTAATAATCTGCATTTAAACGGCAATAAAACTAAATGTATTAAATTTACAACAACGAATGTTAAAAATCTGAATACCAATGTATTTTTTAAATGGGGAAGAACTGAGCCCTGTTGAATCCTCTGTTTTTCTTGGCATCACTCTCGACGCAAAGCTTTAGCGGAGCCCCCATATAGCGGCTGATTTAGAAATGATTTTCGCTTTGCAGAAGAGGGTCATAAGAGCTATTTACAACCTTAAACCGTGAGTTTCTTAGAGAAAAACTTAAAGCTGTTTCTAAAATAATTTTTTTTAATAGTTTGTAATCATTTGTATTGTAAAATTTCAAAAAAAAAGTCTCGCTGTGTTTCTTGCTGGTTCTTCCCAGGACAGGATTTTCAGAGTGGTAAAGTAAAAAATGACTCATAATAATTACTAAGAATTACTTGTAATCAATATTGAATAAAAATTATTCTATTCTATTCTATTCTAATAGGCCACAATGAATTAATTAATAAGAAATGCCTTCGTGGTCTTATTTACCGTGGATATTTTAAGTCATCATCATCATCATCATTACAGCCCTTCACAAGTCCACTGCTGAACATAGGCCTCCCCCAAAGAATGCCACAAAGCACGGTCCTGAGCCACCTGCATCCATCGACTTCCTGCATGTCTTACCAGGTCGTCACTCCATCTCGTGGGGGGACGCCCTACACTTCGCCTACCGGTACGAGGCTGCCACTCGAGAACCTTTCTTCCCCATCGGTTGTCGGTTCTTCGAGCTATATGGCCGGCCCACTGCCACTTCAGCTTACTAATTCGTTGGGCTATGTCGGTTATTCTGGTTCTACTGCGGATATCCTCATTCCTAAGTTTATCACGCAGAGAAACTCCGAGCATAGCCCTCTCCATGGCTAGCTGAGCGACCTTGAGCTTCCTCATACGGCCAGCAGTGAAGGACCACGTCTCAGTTCCGTAAGTCATCACTGGCAACACGCACTGGTTGTACAATTTCGTTTTAAGGTTTTGAGGTATGTCTGACGAGAATATGTGTCGTAGCTTCCCGAACGCTGCCCAGCCGAGTTGAATCCGTCGATTGACCTCTCGGTCGAAGTTGGACTTACCTTGTCGGACTATTTGTCCCAGGTAAACATACTCGTCAACAATTTCGAGCTTAGTGCTCCCAACAACTACCGGCATAGGTGTGACATGGACATTAAACATGATCTTTGTTTGACCTATCCGTTAGGAAACACTATCGAGGTCATTGAGCATAGTGCTTAGGTCCTCCAGCGATTCTGCCATAAGGACTATATCGTCGGCAAATCGAAGGTGAGTGATGTACTCGCCATTGATGTTGATACCGTATCCTTTCCAGTCCAGAAGCTTGAAAACGTCTTCCAATGCAGCGGTGAAGAGTTTCGGGGATATGACGTCACCCTGTCTTACACCTCTCTGCAATTGGATAGGTTTCGTACTCTGATTCTGTACTCGGATAGCCATCGTAGCCCTACTGTACAAGCACTTCAACACTTCGATATACCGACAGTCAACTTGGCACCGCTGAAGGGACTGCAGCACCGCCCAAATTTCGACGGAATCAAAGGCTTTCTCATAGTCCACATACGCCAGACATAGTGGCAAATTGTACTCTTCGGACTTCTGTACAACTTGCCGAAGGGTATGTATGTGGTCTATGGTGCTAAAGCCCTTTCGGAAACCGGCTTGTTCGGGAGGCTGGAAGTCGTCAAGTCTGCGCGCGAGACGATTCGTAATGACTCTCGAAAACAGCACGTAGACGCGGCTCAGAAGGGAAATCGAAAAAATTTTAAGTCAAGTATTTCTTAATTCAACTGGCTCCAAGAGAATTACCCACTATTGTTATTGGTTACCTTCCAAGAAAATGTTTTCATTAAGACAAAATTTATTGTGAGATTTTTTTTCTTTCCTGGCAAAAGTGAAATATAAATTATTATAATGTATTTATAGCATGATACAGTAGTACAGTTAGTGTTCTGTGACAACGCATAAACGTAGAGAGTGAGTGTTGAGGTAGAAGCGGACTATATAATTATGATATTTAAGTACATGAAATACAGTACCTATATGAATTGAATACTTTCAATTATAATAATAAATTGAACAATTTTGGAAATGTATTATTGCTGTGCCCAACATGGTCCATTAATTTGTGTAACCTAAAGTTTAATTTTGTGTAGTAATAACGTAATAAATGGATTGCAATAAAGTATACGCATAATAAATATTATGATTACAACATTATTATTATAATTGACTACTGACTATGCGCTCGTTTAACTCTTGTTTAACAATACCAAGCTGCATTTTAAAATAGGTAGGTATATAACTAATGATAGATTAAAAAAATCAACAGTGCAATTTTTTAATATACTTTATTAACTCTTAAAATTTTATTAAACTATTTAAACTGGACGCGAAAGATATCGTAGCCAGTAGTAACTTTTCGAGGTGATGATGATATTCAATGTTGAGTTATTATTTCAGATCATCATGCGGGCGAAGCCGCGGGCAAACGTTAGTAGCAAATATATTCACGAAAACGATGTTCGTGATTAAAATACAGCTAAAGACTGGTGACAACACAGTCTGCCGAACCACATAATCACAATAATCCCTATCATGATTATTATTATAGAATACGTAACAACATAACTAAATTGGGATTTGGTTGAACTGATCGATATTTTAAAATGTTTCATTTTACTTAAGAGAGATAAATGTCTTTGTTATTTTATTATGTTCAGTCTATAAAATTTTACTGACGATAAAATTCTGACCACTTATGAAGAGGAACCTAAAAAGAGTATGAAGACGCTCGCTTCCAATAAATACGTCGTTAATATTCCATTTAATTTATTAAGACAGCCTGTCTTCAAAATAAGCCATATATCTTCTAACGGTCTATGTATTTAAAGCCTATTAAATCTCAATAATAGACTCTAAAATTGAAACTGAGATTACCATGCCACATAATAAATATTAGATGTATAATTTTACAAATTAAAATAAACTTAAATAAAACGCATTGATCATGCGCTGTGATGATTCTAGTGAGATTACTAATGCAAATAGGTCTGCACTCTGTACTAAGCTCATACTTGGAATACGTTTACATTCTTTATCTCGTACGGATTGCCTTACTTTACGATTTTAACCCTAGATCACTAACCTTAAATCGGAGTAACACTATAACTAACCATTCGATTCACAGACTACGCAATGAAACGCAAATATTTTCAAAATCGTTGTTATTTATTTTATAAAAAAAACAAAAACTTAAATTCCTTTCTTTAAGGAATCAAACAAAACGATGAAAAATAAACAATATTAATTCTTACAACTATTACAAATAGGAACTGTGTGCTCTTGCGGAGAGATGGCCTTTTTGCAGTAAGTACAACAATATTTTATCATACGCCTTTTTTTTGCTAGGCAAAATCCACATATCTTTCTTGTTTTATATAGCTCTTGTACACAGCTTTCTTGTGGCACTTCAATGTTGAGAATATCTCCAACGCTCGTTTTCACATCACGCTGCAACGTCACCGTATTGTAGCGCTCGAGTAGGCACGGTTTTATTAGTTCATCTGCCATTTGCAAGGCAAATTCTCTCCTCTTGAGCGGTGTCTTATGGTCTCGGATCATATTGCATACGAAACAACATACGCATTTATGATACTAATGTTTAAGGTATCATAGAATAAGCATAGCGGCCATCTATTGGTTTTGCGACCAGTGCTCATGATAGAACACATTTGATCCACGGTATCTACAGCGCCCTTTGTAGAATTATAGAAATGAATAATTTCCGGCTTCTTGGTAACATCATTGACAGTGGGTTGATCATGGGTGGTTGATAAAAGGTAAACAATCTTGTTAAACTTGGGCTTGTATGAAACCATGGTCATCTCGTTATAGAAGCAAAACATTGAAGTGCCCACTTGCCGTGCTCTTAGAGTTTTTTATTTACTGGGGTATTTCCCGTTTGTTGCTTCGCAATGTACCAACAACTGTCAATTTATACGGAGCCTGGAGCATATCGGAAGCAAGAGGAATGGATGTAAACCAATTGTCCATAGTTAAGTTGCGATTCGAACCATGTATGGGTTTGGTGATCTCCTTCACCAAATAGCTCGCAAGAGGTTCCGTTCCTGGATTAGTTCCCTTGCCTAACTATGGAATGGCATTGCATACATATTTTGTGTTCGAGTCTGCCATCATAATAAGCTTAAGCCCGTATTTATTTGGCTTACTGGGTATGTACATCCTAAATGGACAACGCCCTCTGAACCCAACAAGCTGTTCGTCAATAGTTATGTATGAACTGGGCTTATACCATCTTACACAGTTGCTTATGAATGCCTCCCAAAATTGTCTGAATGGAGCAAGCTTGTCAGAGGCCCTCTGTTCTTGTTGTCTTGTCGTCAAACCTAAGGCATCTCAGTAAGAAATCAAACCTATCAGCACTCATGCACGCTTTAAAAGTAATTGCACTCCTTTTGTGGTCAAATAGTGTTCTAGTGGGCAAGTGGTTACTTTTTATAGCCGCTGATTGTATCAAGAGACCCAGTAAAGCCTTCACTTCGTTAATGAAAGTATGCGAGTTGATATACTTCTCCTGTAAATATAATATAATATATATAAATAATTCTCTGGGGTCTGTTATCTCTTTGGCTACACCTGCAGATCCAGGGACTACGTAAATCACATTACGAGAAGATGTTCTTGCTCGTGGATTGCGAGGTCTAGTAGACCATTTATAACCGCTCTTTCCATAAAGGTGATTTTTATTGGAACGGATCACAAATGATGATTCAGGCTCCTGCGGCTCCTGCTGATGCTGCATAGACTCAGACCCCAACTGACCTGCATCGGATGTATTATCATCTGAGTCTATTACAAATCTTCGCTTACGTGAGCGCCTGCTGACGAAAATCTCCTCATCAGATGACATCGAACCTTCTTCCTCACTTTCATCAGTTCCTACGTGGACATCTGCCACCATATTATCTTCGTTTTCGGATACGATAGTTCCTCTGCTTCATCGTGGCTAGACTCGATGTCTGACTCATACAACCAATGTCGAATGCGCTCCTCATCCCCTCTCAAATCTATCTAAAAATAAAATTGAAAATCAAAACAATATCGTAAATGGTCCAAAAATATTCATAAAGTCTGCGAAATCAATTTTCCCTTTACTTTTATTCCACAAATAATAGTACATTATTCCTATTTTAAAATTAATAGGTAAAAAACCGAGTAGCGTAAAATATAATAAAAGTAATCTTGAAAACAGAAGAATATTATAACTAAAAATAATGTTACACAGTCACTAACCTTTCGTCTGTCAGACGACGCGACGGCTGTATGTTCTGTTCCAAAGCGCGTGCGACCGCCACGAGTGCACACGGGTCACTAACAGGACCAATCAGGAAGGTACTGAGCGGGGGAAGGAGTGCGGGTGCCGCGAACCTACCGAACTATGAAATGCTGGGGTATGCGTAGTCTGAGAGACGAATGGTTAGTGATCTAGGGTTAAAAGTAAACACCTAAAGAGAAACACACTCGTCCTAAACTACATATTTACGATGTAAATAGACGCCGCGGTAGCTGTCATGTGAACATTTTGCATGCTATGTGAAAGTGTGTCAAGACATATAGAATATAGAATCGGTGAACTATCAACAGCAATAAAACTGATATGTGCTATTTTATCCCAAAATAATGCTAAATATATCTTATATCCATTGACACATTAGAAACATTTAGAACAATAAAAACAGAAATATAAAACAATAGATACTTTAGAAACTTAATTTTTTTATATATGTGATAAAAAGCGACGGTTGAAGAAAAATTTTCAAATAAATACAAAACGCCCATAACGATTTCTTATTTTGTATTTGTTTGTAATAGAACCACTATTTTGGCAGAAAAAATAAGACGTAACGGTGGCGTGTTGGCTACGCACAAGAGTTGGTCAATTGAGGCTGCCAGATCGAATCTAACCCGCACAAATTAAAAATATTGTATATGATAAAATTTTAAAAAGTTTTTTGAAGAAATAAAGATAAAAAAAATAAATACAAAATCCTAGTTTAATAGTCCTAGAAGTGAATAAAAATATAATTATTAATAAATCAACCAAGGAATCGGTAGCAAAATGTAACAAAAGTGTCCAAACAAAAAACAGACTTTTTCAAGACTTCAAGTTACTTAAGTGCTATTTATACGCAATAAATGTGTACAGTGCCTGAAGATTAGTGGAATTGATTAGAAATAATACTTAAGGAGATGGCGACTCAATGTGCTGCTTGTCGACAAAAAATCACAAGTCGTGAATATCTCACCTGCGCACTATGTAACAAAACATATGATCTCGATTGCGCCGTTGCGTTGTATCTATTCAGCGATACTTAAATATCATGTCGCCAGCCCGTAAAAAGAAATGGAAATGCCCCGCTTGTCTTTGCAAAGCCCCTAAAGGAAATTATAGCAACAATACAGTGTGTTCGCATGAAAATGAAGAAAAAGAATATAACAGTATATCACCGCATATAAATAATGTAACTATTAGAAGAAAAAAATACCAATCTAAATGAAACTTTAGACTTTACAGAATGCAGCTTACTCGGCGACAAAATTTACACCCAGAATACTTCACCGGTAACAACTACAACCTCAATTGACTCAACAAAACTTGAGCGAATTAATAAGTTCAAGAGTGAAAGTAAATAATATTTCCATTATTAGAGATCTACAAAATATAATACAATTGGAGATTGATAAAGCGATTCTCAAATTCAAAGAGGATATACAACAACAAACCCTTACTTTGTTCAAGCAAACTGAAACATTAAACAATGACATTCAAGTTATCAACACTCAAATAGATAATTAAAAACAAGAAAACACCATCCTTCGAAAAGATATACAAAGCCTGGAAACAAAAATCACATCACCTGAAAAGCAGTCTAAGTTAGAAATTAATAGCAGCAGGTTGGTAATTTATGGATTTAGCGAACGATTTAGAGAATCAGAATACGACTTACATAGTAGAGTCGTTCAAATGTTCAGAGAAACATATAATATAAACCTACTTGGATATATAGAAGACACTCACTGGATAGGAAGAAACAATAAAAAAAATAAGCCTTTAGTAATATTCAAAAATAGGCACTTCTTACACGGCACTAGATTATCTATCACTGAATATTTAGAACTTGCAGAATTGAAAGAAAAAAAGGCCATGCGAGAACAAATGATGAATGCACGAAAAAATGGACTACATGCCATTATAAGAAATAACCAACTTACGAGTATTATAGAGAGAAAACCCGTAGACTGGAACTTGGAAAATAAAAATATGGATCGCACTGTTGACAGTACGAGTGTAAAAATAATCCAATAGGAAGCACTATCAACTCAGAGCCAACAGAGATCACCAAGAATTAACAATATTCAGACATTTCGGAAGCAAGTTGACATCATTTAAAGTACTTTACCAAAACTTTCAAAGCCTCTACAATAAACAATACCTATTGGAAACATTTACAACCCAGAATCCGACTTACCAAGCTTTTTGTATAACAGAATCTTGGTTAAATCAGGCCAAATTGGAGCTTATTAACCTTACCGGATATAAAATAGCAGCATCATACTGCCGAAAAACTAGAGGTGGAGGTGGCGTGTGCATCTTACTTCAAAATCATCTCGAATATATTGAAAAAACTGATATAGCAGATTTGTCAATAGAATATATATTGGAGGTGTGTGGAATAGAGTTGCCCAAAGAAAATATATTGTTAGTAGTTATATATTAGAATAGGAGAGAGGAAGGAATATTCTATGAGCAATTGCAAAAAAATATCGACAACAAAGGGGTGTAATGTAGAATATCGAACACAAAGGGGTGAAGACCCGCCGGCCGCCTAGTTGTCCGATGGTGGAAAGGAGAGGGAGGAATTCAAAACGTGTAAGTCCTGCGCAAACTCACCGAAATGCATACTATAGAATACCGAGAGACTGGCTACTCTGCGCCTGTGCTCAAGGCTGACAATATTGGTTTCTACCAAATCAAGGTCACCAATAAGACTCTTAGCACGTCTCTCCCCTGAATCGAATGCTGCTAGGTAGCATTTTGCAGCACCTGTCCATATGCGACAGCAGTACTGCATGCACGACCGGACTTGCACATTATATAAGTTAAGAAGCTGCCCCGGTGTGAAGTACCGCCGCACCCTTGCAATTACACCAAGTTTCCTTGCGGCTGCTTTAGCTTTGGACTCAATGAACCGCCCATAGTTGAAGATCGGATAAAATTCAACCCCTAACAACTGAAGGCGGTCTGTGTACTCCAAGCATACATTCCGGAAAGTAGGAGCCAATGTGAGCGGGCTCCTTTTAGCGGTAAAAAGACACGCTTGTGTTTTGGAGGCGTTAAATCTCACAAGATTGGCATCGTCCTATTCAGAGACTGTCTGTAGCGTAAGATTCACACGCTCAATCATAGCCTCTCTTTCTGACTGGATTTGAACCCGACTGGCCTGGGAACTTGGTTGGTATCTCTCCACAACTGTGTTGTCGTCTGCATACCCATAGATACCGGGAATGAGCTGATCATTTTTATGCAGCAGGAAGAGAGTTGCGGAGAGGACGGACCCCTGAGGAACACCGGCGTTAGTCGTTACAGTACCTGATGAGCAGCCATCGACGACGACACGGAGATACCGTTCACTCTAAAAGTCCTTCACCCAGGCAATCAGGTCAGGGGATAAACCGTACGCTGAAAGCTTGCCCAATAGACTAGCGTACCAAACCCTGTCAAAGGCCTTCAAAACATCGAGGGAAACAGCAAGTGCTTCAACACTGTCCTCGAGGGCTTCGCCCCGTATGTGAATGGCATACGCTAGAAGGTCACTAGTTGATCGATTTCGGTGAAATCCGTTCTGGTGATCACTGAGGAGATCATTTTGCTCTAGGTATGCCATGATCAAACCAAGTTGACTGTCGGTATATCGAAGTGTTGAAGTGCTTGTACAGTAGGGCTACGATGGCTATCCGAGTACAGAACCAGAGTACGAAACCTATCCAATTGCAGAGAGGTGTAAGACAGGGTGACGTCATATCCCCGAAACTCTTCACCGCTGCATTGGAAGACGTTTTCAAGCTTCTGGACTGGAAAGGATACGGTATCAACATCAATGGCGAGTACATCACTCACCTTCGATTTGCCGACGATATAGTCCTTATGGCAGAATCGCTGGAGGACCTAAGCACTATGCTCAATGACCTCAATAGTGTTTCCCAACGGATAGGTCTTAAGATGAACATGGACAAAACAAAGATCATGTTCAATGTCCATGTCACACCTATGCCGGTAGTTGTTGGGAGCACTAAGCTCGAAGTTGTTGACGAGTATGTTTACCTGGGACAAATAGTCCGACAAGGTAAGTCCAACTTCGACCGAGAGGTCAATCGACGGATTCAACTCGGCTGGGCAGCGTTCGGGAAGCTACGACACATCTTCTCGTCAGACATACCTCAAAACCTGAAAACGAAATTGTACAACCAGTGCGTGTTGCCAGTGATGACTTATGGAACTGAGATGTGGTCCTTCACTGCTGGCCGTATGAGGAAGCTCAAGGTCGCTCAGCGAGCTATGGAGAGGGCTATGCTCGGAGTTTCTCTGCGTTATAAACTTAGGAATGAGGATATCCGCAGTAGAACCAGAGTAACCGACATAGCCCAACGGATTAGTAAGCTGAAGTGGCAGTGGGCCGGCCATATAGCTCGAAGAACCGACAACCGATGGGGAAGAAAGGTTCTCGAGTGGCAGTCTCGTACCGGTAGGCGAAGTGTAGGGCGTCCCCCCACGAGATGGAGTGACGACCTGGTAAGACATGCAGGAAGTCGATGGATGCAGGTGGCTCAGGACCGTGCTTTGTGGCATTCTTTGGGGGAGGCCTATGTTCAGCAGTGGACTTGTAAAGGGCTGTAATGATG